CTTAGTTTCATCCATAAAACATGGTTATACTCCCAACATATTTTTGAAAGAGAAACGCTAAAACTGCAAACACCACCACCTCATATACTGTCAGTAAACTATTAATCCATTGACCCAATCCAATCCAACTCTTAGCTTTAATATATATGTTCATATCCTATATATAAGCTGCACAATGTGATCTGTTTGCTGTCTCCAGCTCCTCTCAAGTATTTCAGTCCGCCTTTTAGCACCTGTTCTTCTCCATTCATTCCTTAAGATTATTATTCACAAGCCATTCAATCAAGTTGTCCCCCCCTCCCCATGATTCCCTTCCATCAGTAGAAGCTTGAAGCTTGGTAATAGCAAAATGGAATAGAAATAGCTAGCTTACATGCCCTGCCGTAGTAGACCTAGCTCTCAGAAGATTTGTAAGGCTCGAATCGGAATCATCCTTAGATGACCGATCGTATTTATATTCGTCTCTCTATTCTTCTATTTTCGATGAAGAAAATTGTGCTGATGGAATAGATCCACAGGAATCACCCTCCTTTTCATTACCGAAATCGTTATCACCAACTTTTTGCCGGTTGTTGTGCTCAAATTAAGTACCTGATCTTGGTCAAAGTTGCACAGTATCACTTCCTCTTCATCGTTGGTTGGTAGGTGGTTGATACCGATAGAAGACTCCCTCTAGGCTTCTCCCCATTCTTCTTACCCCTCTTCGTGCTCATCTCTGGCGTCTCACAAGGCGTCATTCCAATAGCTCCTTAATAGACTTTTGATCAAGAGACTCAAATCCCCTGATAAATGGAGCGTCTCGAGATCGTCTTATGCAAAAGAAACGGAAGGTTAAAGCGCTAGTTGTTCGCATTTTGGGTAGGCCAACGACTTTTATTTTGGACGTGAAAATCCCGGTAGTTTTTGGGAAATTCTGCGTGGACGTGTTCTCATTGGGAGATTTGTTCTTCAGTGAAATAGCAAGTTCCTGACTTGGAAGTTTGATTCTGATTATTACGTGGCGACTGAATATGTTAAATATGCTTTATACGAGAACGATCAGAATGCGCCACGGCGTCCCTCGAAGGTTTTAGTGACGGTAAGAAGTGGCTGAGTGGCAAAATTTGGGAATTGAAACATCCATGACTTCTTTGTAGAAGTTAATGAGCACGAGGCGCATGGATGCATGAAGTATATCCCCAGCAAGGAGGGGCTTTTTGGTGAAGATACTGTCAAGAAACGAGATGTTGCATTTCAATCAGTCCTTTCATGATCTGTCGATTTTCAGAGTTTAGTGAATATGAGAAGGCAAGTAAACATCTTGAAATACAGATGAGGTAGATGACTTGCGCATATTCCCCACAAAATTAAGATCGAGGAGATGGAGTGGAAATGGAGAGAACATCATATGGCAGGATGTTTAGCCCAGAATTGAAAGAATCTATTCCTAAGGGATGCCAACTACTTCAAGAATGTGTTTAATTTGAACCTTGCTCTAGGTACTTACAGCATTCAATTTAGCTAATGTGAGAGAATGACAATTGTTGAAAACATCATAAGCCGTGCAAACTTATGAACTTTCGAGTTTTTCCATGGCACTAGTAGCAAAATGCCAGGACTGCCATTCCCCTTCAGGTAGTTTGCCCCTCAAGGGCAGTCTTCCACCTTCCAAGTTTCCCATACCTAAAGTTCGATAAATCCCTTCCTTGATCCCGATTATTCCCCATCTCACAACAAATTCCTCTGCGCGGCTCACAGATAACTGAAGCGACAGCAACTCTTGCAATTCTGCGGATTCAATAGGTCGCTTTTTCGCAAGTTCAAAAAGACGTGCAAATGTTCGAGGATAAATTGCGGCAAGCCCATCAATCACACCGGCCGCGCCGAATTGTACAATAGGGCCGAGCTGTTGGCCGAACCCACTGAATACGCGGAAGCTTTCGTGATTGATATCTGGCGTCAAGGAGACTTGCAGATGATGTGAAACATTTCCGTGGGACATCTTGCACCCAACGATATTGGGATGAGCAGCGAGCTCCGTGTAAGTCTCGAGAATTATTGTGATGTTGTTTGTTACTCCAGGATAATGATAGCTGCAGAGGTAGCGAATTAGATTTGTATGACGGTACGAGAGAGATGGAAATTACATTAAGATTGGAATAGGACTAGCATCTGCCACGATCTTATACCATTCTTTAATGTTATCTTGGTTCGCAGCAGGACCGAAATATCCAGGTGCAAGCACAAGACCCCATTGTGCTCCAGCTTCTTTTGCATCGGCCAACCATTCTAATGCTTCATTTAAAGAGTTGGTTAGCACGCCTGCCATAATTGGGTATTCTGAGAAGCCTGCGGAGGTAAGTCCATTTCGAACACCAGCTATCAATTCAGATCGTTCGGCGCGTGAAAGATGAATGGCTTCTCCTGTGCTCCCAAGAAGCACAAGTCCACGTATCCCACTCTTCGCAAGGTGAATACTATGTTGAACCTGAGATGAAACATCTACTGCTGCTTGATTTGTAGAGAGAGGTGTTGTTGATGGATTGAAGAAGGTCGGGACGGGGACAAAAACACCCTCGGGAGGTACTTCACGGTGATTAGTCATCACTACTTGATTGCACGTCTCGGGACTCAGAGCTTCACTTCAAGAAACACCTCAACAAACTCGCCTTGAATGAATGAGAGATGGGCCTCCATTTTATCAGAGGTTCAGTACCATACTGATTTATCTTATTAATCGTATCATTCGATCATAATCAGTTGCGGAACTGCACATGTTCTTTATCCACCAATGCCCACGGAAAAGTATACCCGGGCTACCTGGCTACGGATAAGTCGAAAAGGCATCATTGATGCATCATTGATGTATCCACAGCAATTCTGCTTTGCCTTTAAAATCTCGAGTCTCGGCCAATGTGTTGTTGAGCAATACTAACAGATATTCTCGCGATTCAAATTCATCATGGCCCTCAATCGCTCCGTCAAGTTGAACTCAGGATACAGCATTCCAGTGGTTGGTTTAGGGACGTGGCAGTCAAAACCAAATGAAGTCAAGGAGGCTGTCGCACATGCACTGAAAACAGGATATCGCCATATTGATGCAGCAGCTGTATACGGGAACGAAACGGAAGTCGGAGAAGGAATCAAAGCATCAGGGGTAGACAGAAAAGACATATTTGTGAGCACTGACACGTTTCTCCTTCACTGATCATGTGCTGATTGAAACATATTTAGGTTACGGGCAAATTGTGGAATACAGATCACAAACCTGAAGATGTGGAAGCCGCGCTCGATTCATCTTTACGAGACCTTCAGACTGATTATCTTGACCTTTATCTGATCCACTGGCCAGTTGCTTTTCCGCAGTCCAAGGAAAGATTCCCGGTTGACCCCAAAACAGAGGAAATCATTGTAACCGATGTTCCAATCAAAGACACGTGGGCAGCCTTGGAAGACCTTGTCAAAAAGGGAAAGATTAGAAGTATCGGAGTTAGCAACTTCACCAGAGAGAAGGTCGAAGCTCTGTTGAAAACTGCCAAAATTCCGCCAGCAGTCAATCAGATTGAGGCTCACCCTTATTTGCAACAACCGGAGTTATTGAATTGGCACAAGTCCCAGAATATCGCAGTGGCCGCCTACAGTCCTCTTGGAAACAATATTTACAACTTGCCAAGAGGTGTAGATGACCTCACCGTGATTTCTCTCGCGAAAAGCTTGGGAAAGCAGCCAGCGCAACTACTTATCAGCTGGGCTGTGCAGAGAGGCACTATCGTTCTTCCAAAATCCGTTACACCAGAGCGTATAAACGACAATTTCCAAGGTTAGTGATATCTCCATACTCAGTATCCACAATGCTAAGCTGATCCCATTGCTAGACTTTGAACTGCCAGATGATGCGTTCCAGAAGATATGTTCTTTGGACCGAAACCATCGATATAATTTCCCAGCGCGGCTCGGAGTGGATATCTTTGGCGAGGTCAGCCCAGAAAGTTTGAGAAAGAGTGTTGAAGATTGGAAAGAATCTCAAAGGAAGTTGCGCGCCGCATAAACACTATGCTAGTTACCGTTGAATAGTAGAATAAGGATTCTTAATTTGCCAGATCTTGCAATAAAACTACCCGCTCATGACCGGATTTTCAAATTTGTGGATGCAATACTTACCCGGGATCATCAGATCTGCTGCATCCTTACCCCACCCTACTTCCGGCCTCCGGGTCTTCGGAATCAGACAGTGATCTATCTGAGACCACATATAGTTCTGACTTGCACGCCCATAGTTATACATTGATCACAGATTTCATTATGCCGGAGATAGCATCTATCGAATACTTTCGTGTACCACCTCGATGGCTCTTTGTAAAAATCACAGACAAAGGTGGCAATGTAGGCTGGGGCGAAGCCTCTCTTGAGGGCCATACCCAAGCCGTTGAAGGTTGTTTAGACGCGTATATCGCGAGATACACGGGCATGGAAGCTGAGTATGTGGACTTAAGATGCCGTATTAGTACATCTAATAACTAGTTGTAGTGATATTGAACATATATGGCAAATGTCTTGGAGGAGTGGATTTTATCGTGGAGGCCCGGTCCTCATGAGCGCATTATCCGGAATCGATATTGCTCTGTGGGATTTGAAAGGTATGCTTGATCAATTCATCTGAGTACTTGGACTAATTCCTTCTCCAGCTAGAAGATTAAATGTACCCATCTATCAGTTACTTGGTGGAAAAGTTAGGGATAAGATTAAAGTATACGCCTGGATTGGTGGAGATAGACCTTCTGATATTGCCGGCCAAGCGTATGTTATCCCATAGCTCTACCTGACAGAAGTTAATAAGAGTAGTCAGGCTAGAAAAGATCAAGGGTTTACAGCAGTCAAAATGAACGGTACAGAAGATCTGGGGTGGTTTGACTCGCCATCTGCCTTGGATAGCTGTATAGAACGAGTGAAGGCTGTCAAAGAGCTTGGGATGGATGTTGGAGTTGACTTTCATGGTAGAGTTCACAAGCCGATGGCCAAGCAGCTAGCAAAGGCTCTGGAACCACATCGACCAATGTTCTTGGAGGAGCCACTACTTTCAGAACACATTGGTGGCATCAAAGGTCTCTCGCAACTGACAAGCACCCCAATTGCCCTGGGTGAACGTTTGCATAGTCGATGGGATATTCGACCATTCCTTGAAGCGGGCGCTTTAGATATTTTACAGCCAGACATTAGCCATTGTGGTGGGATCAGTGAGATGAAACGTATCGCTGCTATGGCCGAGACTTATGACGTTGCTCTCGCGCCGCACTGCCCTCTAGGACCTATTGCTCTCGCAGCCAACATTCAGATCGCGGCCGCTTGCTCAAATCACGTCATTCAAGAAATGAGCTTGGGTATCCATTACAATGTCGGCGGGCAAGACCTTACGAGTTACACAACCAATCCAGAGGTCTGGAAGGTAACCGGCGGTTATATTGATTTGATGAAGGGTCCAGGACTTGGCATAAATATTGACGAGGAGCAAGTACGTAGACTTTCTCAAGGAGCGGAGCCTTGGATGAGCCCGGGGTTCATTGGCCCCGGCGGTGAGATTAGAGAATGGTAAACTAGCTCAAAATATGATATTTCAATTCCCCCAACCAATAATTTTCCATTGTTCTACAAATATCGAAAAATGGGCATTTCCGTATGTAAGCCCGGGAAAGGTAAGAGCAGAATACGCCATCCGAGCCAGGATTGTTCTGGATATCTGCTAGCGACTAACAATTTCGAAATTGCCGCTTCGGCCCCAAAGTGGGAAACCCGAAACCCCCTGTCATTTGCTTTAGCCGGAAAGCTTAACTTCCCCGCACCACCAGCTTTCAAGTATCCGGACCAAAGACAATTCTATGAACCATTGTCCTGCAGACCCCTTCGGAAGTATTCTTCTATGTTTCGGATCTGACAAAACTCGCACTACGCAAATAATAATGGCGGAAGCTCGACAATCACACAATTCGTTGAATTCTCCGCCAACAGCCGAGGTAGCTCATCCAAGGGACGAGGGCACAGAAACTCAACCGGCGCCCGCAGCGAAAAGACGGAAAAGGGATGAGACTGAGAGAATACGTGTAAGTCGAGCTTGCGACCGTTGTAAAAGGTAAGATGGTGAAACCCCACATTTTGCGGAAAAGGCATCTCACAAATGTATTTCAAAGAAAAAAGACAAGATGCAGCGGAAATCAACCTTGCAATCTCTGTACAACTGCCGGTTTGATCTGTGAGTTTACAGCAGCTTATAGGCGTGGGAGAATACCTCCAATAGCGACAGAGAAAGAACACCTTGAACATCTGGGAGGTATTTCTGAAAATGCCGAAAGTTCTACCAGTGTTGAACATGAACACGTGATTGAAGCTGCAAAACCTTTCCCAAATCATCACAATGCGTTCCATAGCCAATTGAGCGGAGAATTCACCAGTATCCCACATGATGTAGCTATAGCTGCATCAACATTGGCCCGGCTCCAGCCTACTATCGCTGAGAACTCGAACCCAATTTCGAGAATGCAATCATCTCGGAACTCACCAGAGCCTCCGCAAACTGACCTCCAGGGACACTACGTGGGTCCTTCCTCTGGGGCCTCTTTTCTATTGAGAGTGCAGAAGAAGTTACACCGAGAAATTACACTCTCCCAGGATTCATCAATATTCACATTTGGGGATGCTCCCCTACCAGAATTTGACCCTTCCTTTTTCGTACTTCCCCCAAAATCCGACGCCGAGAACCTTGTTGCAAGATACTTTGATTTTGCAGTTCCGACCCATCGCTTTCTACATCGCCCAACTATTGAACTCTGGGTACATGAATTTTACGATAATCTGGGAACTTTTCAACGGAAAAGCGGTGCCAAAGGACGAACGGCTCTTTTATTTATGGTTTTCGCTCAAGCAAGAGATTACATGCCTGGTGTTGGCAAACATAATGATAATGATACGAGGTAAATACTGCGAGATGCCCAATGATTAAGAATTGAGTTTTTCACGAGAGACTTCCGGCTCTTTGATTGGTCAAATCACTTTCGATGACAATCAAATATTGTATGTTTCTTGTCATTGAATTTTGGTGGAGCATAGGCAGCTTTCATATCCATCCTGGTACTCCAAGAACTTGTATACTTTGAAATTGAATCAATTATCACAGTGTTATTTTACTCAAGCTAACAACAATACCGTAGTTCCCGATACTTCCACGCCGCTGATCGTCAACTGACATCTGAAACTGGAGGAGTGCTTTTAACTAGTGTTCAAGCTCGGCTGTGTCAATGTTTCTATCTCCTATCACAGTCAAGGGTCAACCATTGTTGGAGCTTATTCGGAACCACGGCTCATCTGATCCTCGCTCTCGGTATCCATCGCAAGAGACGTTTAGAGTCTCACAATAATGTGGATATGATCGAACTAGAATGCAGAAAGCGAGTTTTTTGGTGTGCATACAACTTGGACAATTATCTAAGTGCTGCTCTCGGAAGACCTCGAACTTTCCACGATGATGATATAGATCAGGTGAGCCATCCCTTTATCAGGCTAACGATCGCGATTACCCGATAAGATTCTGAGACCTCAATTTAGGAACTCCCGAGT